GCAAATTAGTCCAATTTTAATTAAATCTCCTCTCCCACCCCCCCACCAGGTCCTGTCTACATGCGGGGAAATTGACCAAAATAGTTATTCTGCTATGATTTAGCCATTCTGGAATAACTCCCCCATTTGGACAGTATTCTGGAATAAAATCCACTGTTATTCTGGAACAGTTTTTTCCTCAATAGGTATGCTGCTCAATTTCGCTGTGTAGACAAGGCCTTGATTTTATATCTGATGAACATTATAACGCAACAATATCTCCTTTATGCAACACCAATTTAAAAACAAAACTTCTGTCTGAAATGGTTTGACCTATGTTGTTACAAATAATCCACAAATTTACTGTAATTTAAAGGGATTAGTGAAAAGTATTTTTCCCCCGTTTCTTTGTGAATTTGACAGCACTTTATGTATAGTCAGTTTAATTGTTTTCCCCTGCATATCAGCCAGGCCCTGATCCTACTATTGACTCAGTGTGAGTGGACCCCTAAAGCTACCTGAAGGAAATTGCAATCTTTTTCCCTTTTTGTTTGTTTGGATTTCACATAGCAACAAGGGGAGAAAGGAAATTTTAAGTACAGGAAAATGGGAAACAACAAATGACAAGGGGATTTGGGGGCTGATATAGTACCTGAAACTACTTTCCACTTTCAAAAAAAAACACTGATTAAGTTAACATGACCATGACTTACCATTCTTTTGAAGACAGGATGTATGGCCTTCTCTTACACTCCCAAGAAATACAATGCTGTTCCCAAACAATGGCACAGGAAACAGAATTCTTGGGGTGTTCTATCAAGTATTCATAGATTTCAGAATGAGTGAAGTTGGCAGCCAACTATACCCACTATTATATACTATTGCAAAGTGTAAGATTGTTTTGTTTTAAAAAAATTCTCATGCTGTTCCACCGAAGTACAGAGCCTCAAAAACGGTTCATTATAAAGGCCTCAGTTCAGCAAAGCACTTAACCAGGCTCTTAACTTTAAACAAGTGAATAATCTTGGTGATTTCATTGGGATTATTCACATGTGTAGAATTAAGCACGTGTTTAAATGTTTTACTGAATTGGGATCTAAATCTTGCAGGAAAACAATTGTTCATGTAAAATTTCCCTAATGAAATAATGAATGATTTTCTTGAAATGAAGATGGTAATGTTTTGAAGTCCTTTTGGTTACAGACAGACAGAATAAATTGATTAAACTGCTCAGTATTAGTGGCATCTGAAGAATGGATTTTAATCAAATGGCAGAATGTGTCACTCTCAAACATTAGGCTACAAGCTTTTGGTAAACACTGTATACTTTAAAACCTATTAAGATCAGATAGGATGAAATTATTATACTTTACAAGAACAGATTATTGCATATTGGCTGTTACTCAATTGTAGTTGTTCATGCATTCTATTAATTACTAATATATAAAATCAATATAGGTAATAAAAATTAGTGATGTCTCATTGCATTTGCTCTGTGACTTTCAACAGAGTCCCCACCTTGAGTTCACATAAAGCTAAATCCAAAGCATTGTGCTAGCTGTGTACTTGTGTGTGTGTGTTTTAACTCATATTTTTTTTCTTTTAAGGTCTGATCTATGTCCTACTGAAATCAATGGAAAGGCTTGCATTTATTTCAATATGATTTGGGTAGGGTCTTTAACTAATGAAAGAAGTAAGTGATAATTTAATAAGTCTCAATTTTTAAACCTTGGTTGTTTATGTTTTTCCACCCTTAAATCACTGCAAATTTACAATAATTAGAATACGGAAAAATACGGTAAATTGTGAATTGCGTTACCTAGACGTGTAGTGGACTTAAAAAAACAAATTGTTAAACCCAAACAGGGACTTTATGTAAAATAATTTTGCAGCGTGTCGTGGTTAGCTGGGTCAGATACAAAAACGTCTTGAACTTCTAGTTGGGCCATAGAGTCATAACCCTTACAAAAAAAAAAAATAGAACCCCAAAACAGAATGGTTGTTTTCCCCACCTTCTCTAATGATAATAAGACCTTAGCACTGTCAAAATATTGGCTTATACGCTGTATATCTGTTTACTATTACCGTTTATAACATTCAAAAGCCACTGTTCTGACCAAACAAAAAGATGGCTGCCTTAGTGCTGTGAAATGTGTATGGCTTTCATATTGGACCAGCTATACAGAGATGTCTTGGGAATCTGTATAGATGTCATAGTCAGTGTAATAAACAATACATTTAGAAAATTATATTGCTAATCCTGGAAATGGATCCCAAATACAGGAGTATTAAATGTATCAGAAAAATCAACATCCAGCATGTTATAGAGCAATAGTTTTTGAAAGAGACACTGTGTTAAATTAATATAGATTTATACAAAATAATTAAATTGAAATATAAAGTTGAAATCAAGCATTTGTGGTATTAAACATTAGATTTCATAATTTTGTAACAGACACTATACATAACAATTACAGCTTTTTACATTATATGCATATATATTTATAATTTGTACAACAGAGAGAGCTTTTGGAAAGGATCATTTGAATTTAACATACACTACCACTCATCATCTGAGCAAAGATGGTACAAGGTATTTCAACATTATTTGTGATCTAAAAAACAAAACTGAACCATAGTTGCTTTGTGTTGTGCTTCACTTGCACAGACTGCAGTGCCTTCTGTCTGCTTTCGGGTGTGGCATCTGCCATTGGGGAGAAAAAACTGGCATGTGTTGCCTTTTATAGCAGACTGATTTCATTGTGTTGAGGGCCTCTGTTTTACAGCCTTAATTCCAATCTTATAGCTGAGTTGCTAAAACAAATGTAATGAAAAAGACTGAGTAGTATAAACTTTCATTTTTTGAGGTTTATCATTTTCCCCAGGAAAAATATTTTAAAAGTAAATCTGCATTAAATTTCATGGCTTATTTTTCTGTTAAGAACTAGTGAAATAAGTCAGAAAGTATTGAAATCCTCAAGTGAGCTACCGTCAATACATCTTATGAGATTTGTATATATATATATATATTTCTGCTTCAATATAAATGCCTAAAAGCATAAATGTGTAATTGATTTTATATTTTATTTTAGAATACACATATAAATAAATATGCACAAGTAGACATCTATATTTATATTTGCATATGAAAGCCTTAAAAAATAAACCTATGTGGTTTAATGTGTATAATTAGTATGTGTTTGAATATAGAAAAGAAGAAAATCCAGGAGAAAATGTCAAAAAGGCTCACTTACAAAGATGTAGTATTCTCTTGGCAAAAGCTGATGAATGATTTGGCATGAATTCATCTTATAGTTCTGTTACTCTCTCTTCTACAAAGATGATATACCCTCTTGCTAGCAGTTTGCATAGAACTGCAATTTGTTGTGTTACAGACTGTAATGACCCTTGGGTACACACCTGATTCCCCCCACTAGAATTACTCACTGATTTTTTTCTATTCTATTGGTTTCTATTAACTATATAGCATTTTTGCACTTGCACAGAGTCCAAAAAAAAAAAAAAAGAGAGAGAGAGAAAGAATTGAAATAGAAGTAATATCAACATGTAGTTGAAGAATTTTGAGACTTTTACAAACTAGATTCATCCTGGAAAATCCTAATGTTTTCTTACTTTGCTATGCAGAAAAAAATCAGTGGACAGTGTGCTCACATTGCTCATACATTTATCAACATTCTGTCATGAAGAGTCTGTTCTTTAATGTTTTCCCAATGGAAATACAAAAAAAATCTTCCTACTCATTACTACATCATTCATGATATGCTATGTTTTATGTTCTGTCAGTCTTAACAAGTCTTCTATTTAGTGAGCTGAAAATCTAAAAATGCTGCTATTTAAAAGATTTTAATAAAATATTAATTTCAAATAATCTATTTTAGATTCCTATTAAATTGCCTAAATATAATTAATATCTTGCTTGTGTCCATGGAATAATATTTTATCTTCCAACTGCTTTTATTAGCTGAATGTGGTGTTTGACTATTACATTTGCACTAAGTTCTTACTTATATTAAGACAATTATTTAAAAAAAAATCCACTACCAATAGCTGCTGAAATCCACTATATAAATGTAAGTCATCAGGAGTAAAAGTTGCTTTTATCATATATTGTATTTTATATTTCTACATTTTCATGAGTGTTTTGGATATACTAGAAAATAATGTTGTTTGGGGACACAATTATAGGACTGAAAATGTTTAATTTTCCTTGGGAGCCCTCTTGATCTGCATATAAATACATAGAACATGTTCCAAACAGATCCATATGTAATGCTTACATTAAAAGCATCATTAGCACAAATGATCATTAGAATTTTGAGATAGCTGGACACTACAGACTATTGCAAAAATGCCATTACTGCACAATTTTGTGTTAAATTTTTCAAAATACTCCACTTATATATTTTTAAAAAGTATTTTTATTTTCCATAAAACAATTTGGAGGCAGAACATTTTAGTGTAATAAAATTAGAAATCTTTTGATTTCTGGCTTCAGGAACAGAGTATATCTTTTGAAAATTTGACCAATTTATTTTTTAGTCCAATAAAATCTATTACCAACAATTTTTTCTTTTCTTTGTCTACTGACCTGACCTGATGAGTGTCTACAGCCCTCACCCCAAAAAGACATATCAAAAAAGCCAAATTCATCCCTGATGTAACAACTTTTACTTCAGTTGAATTACACCAAGGCTGAATTTGACCCAGTGATGCTTAGTTGGCCTTTTTGGTTAAGATCATTTGTCACATTAGCTTAATATTCCATTCTCTATGGAAGACTAGATTTGCAAGGGAGTGACTGAAAGATTTTTCTCCATCTCTAACCACTACGATTCTTGACGGGCAAAAAATACAAAAGGGGAGAGTGCATCCTCTTGCATTAGCAGAAGCAGCTGCCCTGGTTCGGGGCTGTTGAAGGTTGTAATGTGCGTCTCTCTCTGAGTCCCTGAGCGTGCCACCGTTAAAGCTGAGCAGGAAGAGGAGGGGGAAGTCCAGTCCGGGTTTTCCAAGTGTACAGGAGTAATCAGAGAGAAGTGGATAATAGTTGTTAGAGCTCGCTCTCTCTCTCATGCCATGCTGGGCCAGATAGGCTCAGTCAGACGTGTATTTACCCATATCCGGGTTAGAGAGGAAAAGAAAAAAAAAGTTTCATTTAAACCTGAACAAAAAACTTTCAACATGAAATCACACAGCAGGAACAGGCACAGACCGTAAGGCATTCTTACCGTTTCTAATCTCAATCACGGACTTGGGGAGGGGAATTTTTATAATTTTTTTTGTGTTGAATGATCAGGAGAGGTTGCTGTTTATTCAAATAAGTTTATTTTCCCCCGTTTCTCTTTTTGCCCCGCTCCCTTTCTGTGCCCCTCCCCCCCGTTTCGCTTTTATTTTATTTTATTTTTGAGGGTGTGTGTTGGATTTTTTCGTTCGGACTGGCAATGTTGCAATGATCATGGCCGCGCAAGTAGCAGCGGCTCCGGCGGGTGCGAAGAACAACAAGGGCAAAACCTCGAGTTTGCCGGGCAACTTGAGCCAGGATCTCAGCTCGGGGGGAGCAGCGGCCACAGCCACCGGGGGACCTGGACCGGGCTCCATGCTGGGGGTCGGAGATGGGACTAACAGCAGCAGCCTGAATAATGTAGATCACCATCTCCTGCACCACCATAATGAACTGAACATGGCCAATAATGCAACTTCTGCTGCTGCCACCGGTAATAACAACAACAACGCTAACACCAGCAGTAGCAGCAGCTCCTCTTCGGAGTCGGCTCTGAAAGAAGGTGGAAGCTCATCGGGGTTACCGTCTTCTTCTTCCTCCTCCTCCTCCTCCTCCAACCCGGGCTCGGCCATGGAGACGGGGCTGCTCCCCAACCACAAACTGAAAAACGTTGGAGGCGATCACCCTGCTGCACCTCCCCACCACCATGCCCACCACCCTCATCACCATGCCCACCACCACCATGCCCACCACCAGCACCACCACCACCATGCACTACAGCAGCAACTAAATCAATTCCAGCAGCAGCAGCAGCCGCCGCCTCAGCACCATCCGATGCAGAATAACAACAGCCTCGGCGGCGGCAGCAGCAACAACAACAACGGCGGTGGCGGCGCTGCTCAGCCCAGTGCAGACATGGAGCAGCAGCAACATGGAGGAAAAGACAGTGTTTTGGGAAATCAGGCCGAGCCCCCGCCGCCGCCGCAGCAAATGCTGAATAAAGGGGGCGAGGAGGAAGAGCTGCCCAGCAAAATGGGCGAGCAGATCGGCGGCCGCTACGATCACCCCAGCCTGGGACCTTTGGGCGGACAGCAGCAGCAGCAGCCCCAAAGCGCTGGGAGCGGCAGCGGCAGTAGTAGCAGCAGCGGCGGCGGCGGGAGTGGGGGAGGCGGCGGCCCCTCCGCGGTGGGTGTCTCGGAGTTTAATAGCTATTACGGCAACCCTGCCCCTGCCAGCAGCGCTACAGCGAGCCGAGCCGGGCCTTGCTTTGATCAACATGGCGGACAACAAAGCCCCGGGATGGGGCTGATGCACCCCACGGCGGCCCCCAACAGCATGGACCCCCTGCAGAACTCCCACGACGGTTACCCCAACAGCCAGTACAACCACTACCCCGGCTACGGCCGGCCCGGCGGCGCCGCAGCAGGAGGAGTGGGAGCGGCGGCGGCAGCCGCCGCGGCTGCATCAGGAGCCGGAGGAAGCGGCTATGGGGGCTCGTCCTCTGGCTACGGGGTGCTGAGCTCCCCCAGGCAGCAGGGCAGCACCATGATGATGGGCCCAGGTGGAGGGGCCAGCCTTGGCAAGGCTGCTGCGACTTCTGGGGCTGGAGGCTTTCAGAGATTTTCCGGGCAGAACCAGCACCCGTCCGGGGCCACCCCTACCTTGAACCAGCTGCTCACTTCCCCCAGCCCCATGATGAGGAGCTATGGCAGCAGCTACCCTGATTACAGCAACCCCAGTGCCCCACCACAGCAGCAGCCACAACCCCAGGCAGCGACGGCAGCCCCAGGAAGCCAGCAGGCAGCAGCGGGCATGGGCATGGGCATGGGCAAAGACATGGGCTCCCAGTATGGATCTGCAAACCCAGCCTGGGCAGCAGCACAACAAAGAGCTCATCCAGCTATGAGTCCTGGAAGCACTGGTCAGACCATCAACAGAACCCAGGTAACCACCAAAGGTCCCCCCCTGTATATTTTAAACGTGGGTCTAGAGCCTAGTCTCTCTCCAATTTACTTTTTCCCCCTGGGCCATCTAAACTACTTGCTGCCTCCATAACAGGGTTTGGTAAGGCACAGTGTCCGACTGATTAGATTGGAGGCATCCAACAGACGGTTTCACTGTACAAAATTACACTATTCGGTTACACAATTGAACAGCATAAAGTTTTCCTCCAGTTTGAAATAGAGATTTGAAGATACAAGGCCCCGAGGAAAAGCAGTTTGGGGTGAGGAGGGAGGAGGAGCTGCTTTTGTAGCTACACTGTCAGATTCTGGAAAATAATGTTGACTGCCCTCTGTTAGAATTTTTGTAGACAGAGCAGATAACTTTGATACCCTTTTAGCAAATTAGTGTTTTGCCGATGAAGATACTGTGGTGAAATCCAGCAAAAATGCAGTCAGGTTGCTTTTGCTATTTGAAGTGTGAGTGCCATAATCGTGAAGATTCATTTAATAGGCGTTGAGGTGCATTAGATACCTCATTCTTCTTGTATACTTGCCCCAAACATCCAAACGAGAATGAGATGTAAATAAGTGTTATGTTTAAAGTTAATATGATGCACAAATATTATTATTTCTATTTTGAAATAATCCATACTTTGATAAAGAGACTGGAAGAGTCCTTTAAATAAACAGATCCAGATATTGAGAACTCTGCTTGTTTTGACTAATGTACAGGTCCCTGATAAATTAAATCCAATAAATTACAAATCGATATCAGATCATTGTTGGATTATGTTTATGTAGATTGCTTGTGTGCCATTGTCAAAGTTATAGGGGCTGGTTAGGAAATGGTCTGTACTCCACGTTTCTTGCTAGCAGTCTGAGCCTAAAGAGTGACTTGATCTCCTTTGCAAGGTTTGGAATTTGAATTGTGGAGGTAAACTGGCTGTAATAGTCTCCAGACAGCTGCCTCTGAGTTGACATCTAATCTGCCATCTGATTGGCTCCTCTCTCACCATTGGGCATTTAGCACTGCTGATGTAAATAGAAGTGCTGAGCAGTACAGTCACAAAAATTCTTGCCACAAATAATAACTGAGCAGTATCGCTCGCAGATGCAAAAGTTAAACATTGTTAGAAGAAGCTGAAACAATGAGCAACCATATTTATACAGTGGAGGTTTCATGTGCCTCATCAAAAATTATGCTTGTGAACAGTATAGTGAAAAGCCAGTGGCATCTTATTTATTTTTTTAATTCTGTTAGGTGATGGTTTTTCTGGGTGTTGATTTTAGCTTTAATATGCCTTTATTTTTATAGCAAATCAGACTTGCAGACAAAAATATAATAGCATGGCTTGGATGAGGATTCAGTAATTTCAAGTGGTATTTATTTGAACCTTTATGCCTCTTACTAAACATATTTTAATGTAAAATTGTGCTAGTTACGAAAGGAAACTAGATATTTTTGTGATTTAATCTTAATTTAAAGATCATCCTACGTTCTCAGTTTATTTCGGTGTCTAATATTTACAGTGGTCATAGCCCTGTGTTTGTAGGTTGGGTTTTTTATTTATTTGTGGCACCCTGTATATGAACATAATAGCAGATTATAAAAAAGGGAGAAGAAACCATTCAAACTATCAGTGATTTTTATATCACTGTTATGAATCCAGATACTTAAAAAAAATCTGTTTTACATTTGAATTGTTTGGGTGGAAAGATATATCAGGAATAATATTTAATCTAATTATTTTTGTATACAAATACATAGTGAGCTTATGCTTGAATTCTCCATAGGAAAGTAAACTGTTTAAAAAGGAGTGATAATGCATTCAAATTTTGTGGGGTTCCTTCTCCCTCCACAAAATTTTGTTTCTAATAACTGTGAAGTCTTTTAATAGGTTTGAAGAATTAGAACGAATAGAAATAAGTACAGGTGTATGCTTTTTGCGACACTAGTCAGTTGTTGTATTTTACTGTAAAAGAAATTTTAAAATGAGCATGTCCTAGAGCAGATATTGGTTTTTGTAGTGAATGATGGACTGACCTTAATAATGTGAACCTTGGACAGACTGAAAATGTTTGTCTTTTGTCTACAGACCATTACTGCAGTGTTTTACTTTCTATTGTGTTTTTTCCCTTGCTATTTCAGATGGGGAAATAAGAATTTCATGAATGTTAATTTTTCCCTTTTTTAATTTGGACTGGTAAAAGGGTCATAAGGAACCATAAAATAATGAAGCTTCATATGCATAACCTTTCACAGTTAATTAAACAAGGTTTGCATTGTCAGCTTGTTTTTAAACATAGGTAGTTTAAAATTTACAGCTTTAAAAGCCAGTAAAAATGTATTGGGACAGATGTAGGCACATTTTACTTCTGAGTGTGATTTTTTTTTTATGGCAGAAATTGTACAAGATTTTTTTTATCATAATTGAGACTAAATTCATTATGTCATCAGTATGACCCTTGTTAATACTTTTTATATTTATGGGTCTATGTCTTGTTCCACAGTTACACATTATTTGTTTCGTTTTGGTATTATATGATATACATGTAGGTTGTGATTTATAAGACACAGTGCACCAAGGTACTGTCCTTTGATATTTCCTGTAATATTTGTAATAAAGAGAAGTCATTCATCAGGAATATTTTTGTTCCTTTTTAATTACAGTTTTACTGTGTGTATCATCTGGCCTGATGGTAAAAGAAAATTTGCTGGTTTGAATTTTTTTTTAAAGGAAAATAGATTATACTGAGTAGAAAATAATGATTTTAGTTGCTGGTAGTTATTTCTTTTTATATATCTTTAATTCTATTGGTACCTTATTTCAGTGGGTGTAGAAATTTGTACATTTTTTTAAATAAGTGAGAAATTGAACCTTTCCTGTAGCATTTGAGTATAGTGTTTCTTTGATTTTTTTTAATACTTTGCTGCATATAGGTGTACACTACTAATATGTGAGAGTGTCAGTATGCTAATGATGATTTGACTCTAAACATATATAAACTATTGCTTTGTGAACAATGGCTACAATACCTGAAGCGGCATGATGAGGACATTATTGCCTGTAGGAAGGTACTTTTCTTAGTGTCCAGGGCAATAGATTCCCACTACGAGCTGAAATGTCCGCCTGTCTAACCTATTAAATCATTTAAGGAAATTTTGCTTCTGCTTCATTTAATCTACTTGCCTGAAACAGAGATGAGACATGCAGCTTGAAGAACAGGCCTCTCATTGCAGAAGAAGGGAAGAAGCACAGATATTCAAAGCTACCGGATACTGTTAGTGCAAAATTAATTGGTTATGAATAGTAAGTTCTATGGTATCACAGTTAAGGGGGAGTGATGAAATCTTATAAGCCATTTGTTTAAGTATTGCCCAGTTTATTGAAAATATAACTCAAATTTGTAGTCATATGACCCTATTTATTCTATATTTTGAATTTCATTTCAGGTGTGTGTGTGTGTGTGTGTGTGACACGCACCACACACACACACACACATAAGTTCTGCACTCGCTTTCTCTCTCTGTGTCTATGTAAAATAAATGTGTGTGTGTGTGTGTGTGTGTGTGTGTGTGTGTATATCGAGAGAGAGAGAACTTGGCCTTTTCAGTATTATCTGGGTTGCACTTGATATTTACCAGTTGTTAGGAAAAAATCAATGCAGAGGAACAGCTGATTTGTTTGTTTGAAAATTAATAGTTTCTCTTTCTATGGGAATTATTTTTCCCATAAACTCAAAATGGGCCTGAGTCTGCAGCTCTTTGTATGCCAGTTGCATTGCCTTTAAAGGGGAGTGTTGTCTGAGTAAGGACTGCAGGATTGGGCCCTGTGTCTGGGGGCTGTTAGACAATTGTCAGTGTGGTGCATAGATTCTCAGTACATTAATGGGAGAATAGACTTTCTTTCTGCCTGTGTGTTTATTCGCAAACAGTTTGCTGTTATACATTCTCTACCTAGAAATAGCAGAGAGCAGTAGTGTGAATTAGTAGCATCTCTTTTGTACTGTGATTATATATTTGACACTTGTGGTTTGGTGTTCACTTACTGGTTTCTGTAGTGGTCATTATGCTTGCAAATTGAAGAACAGGACTCTGTGTATGAGGTACGATAAATAAAAGTGGTGCATACCAGTATACTATATTATTACCTCCTCCTTCACATTAGACTTGTACAACTGAATAGTCAGTTAATGTGTTTCTGTCATTTTGATCCAAGTCTGTGGGAAAGAAAGCTAATACGTTTATACTGTTGCTGTATTTTTATTCCTGGATGCACATATAATTAATTTTTTTGAGATTGCCAACTGGATTGATTGTTGATGGTCAAACATAGGTTACCTGACATTCTCATTTGAAACACAATGTTTTTAAAAAAGTAAGTTAAAACTAGATTAATTCTAAAGACTAAAATAAGTTTGAATGATAATTTAAAGTTATATTTTTCTTTCTTTTGCTATTGTACCTGCAAAGCATATAAAATCAAGTATGGGTATCCTGAAATTCTCACCAGTAATATTTTAAGTGACAGTATTTTATTTATACTTCAGTCCACATAACTGTCCTCAGCTTGTTAGGACATGGGTACAGTCTTGCATTTCAATATCCTTTTAAAATGTGCCATTTATCAGGAGGCTTTAAAGATTCTCTGTAGATATGTAAAGCAGTGTTACTACGCTCACTGTGCATGCATGCTCAAGGCTGGAGGATTTCAGCTCCCAGTAGTATTTAGATGTGGTAGGCTAACTTGCCAGAATATGTTTCAGCATTGTATTGTTTACAATATTCAGATTTGGGGGTGGGAGGGAATTTACATAGTACTAAATAATTTTTTTGGTAGGATTGGGTGAGGCCCTAAATGAATTAAAACTTAAATTGCCAATGTACCTTGGTGGTTTTCAAATTTATTTTGAAAACTGATCTAAAAATAATGCGGGTATCAAGCTTCAGTGTGGTATGTCTTCACAGACATTATTTGGGCAACAGGAAAAGAAAATGAC